TTTATTTTACTGTTAATGACTGAAGTAGAAATCCGATGAAAATAAAGACAACAAATCAACGCTTGTGTTATTAGACTGTTTACATGACATCGTAATGTGATACTTGACCCCTGCTTCGAGAACACGATGTGGAATTTATTAGCTTATGTATCCTACAGTGTTTACAAGGAGAATTCCCCATAGTAATAAGATTGCACTTTGAATCTGTGAAAATGTTTATTACAGTATATGGTTTGGAACCATCCAGTAAACATTGCAAGTGTTTGAACATTGGTCATCTTTCTGGAAGGTTTGAATTTAGCTGTATACAATACAGGCAAAAAAAGATAACTGCCCACTTTATCAAGTGCCCACATAAATAACAAGACTAAAGACACTGCCCTTAATATTAATTTTGGTTGCAAATAGTAGAAAAAAGAAAGAGACTGAAAAGGTTTACCCTTAATGGTGTGGTGCCTGTTAATCGAAGTTCTACTGTATACTAATGGTGCTTATTCTCTGCTCTGTCATTTCCTTCTGGAGATCTATTGGGATGAATGAGCATTACAACATTAAGGGTATTAGGATTTATTGATGTAGAAAATATACACTATAGTATCCAGAATGATGTGTTTTCTTCAAAATTTACAATAATATTGTACATTCAAATTGAGTCTTATTAGCCTACCATTAAATAGTGATCTTAAAACAATTGTTACATGCATTGAGAATACAATTTAAGATTTAGTGCCTATTATTTTCTTTGTGAAGTTACCAAAAGGTGAGGCATGAATTCTGATACGATACCTCACCTCCCCTCACATGTAGTGCCAATTATTTTCTTTGTGAAGTTACCACAAGGTGAGGCATGAATTCTGATACGATACCTCACCTCCCCTCACTTAATAGACTTCCTTGATTTTCACTGCCCTCTATATGCACAATTTTTACTTGCCACTAGCCTTGAGGCTCTCTTCCAATTTAACATGTATACATGTGGCATAGCTGCACTGTAGCATGTAAGTGAGCATGCAACAACCTTCCATCAATAGGAATGCAACACACCCTCCCAGCACAACTAACTCCCTCTATACTATAGAGAATAATCATCACTTCTCAGTTTGGCACTTGTGTGTAATGATGTATCTTTTTTTTTGGCTTGTGAACTTTTCAGAAAGATACATTTATAAGTGGAAGTATCTACAAAGACATTGTATGTTGTGGAAGCATTTATTGTAGGTTGTCACTTTCCAATATCTTTCTGCACCTGCAGATTTTGTGGCCTTTTATTTCCACACTATCTCATTAGTATCAGTAACTTTGCTTTGTTTGGTGTGAGACAAAAAGACGTTCACGCTAGTTTCATAATTGCATTGGCATCGGGTTTGCTTGTAGAAGTGACTGATTTTGTGCAACAGGTGATGGAGTGGATCATGTGATCTGTGCCTTTTTTTGTATCTGAAATACCTCCACCTATGTTTCTTGCTCGTGACAGAAGGAATTTTGCCAGTTTTTCCCCACTACCTAGACTTGAATCTGTTACCCATGCTGTCTTGAATCTACCTTAGCCTTTTTTGTAATCTCTGAACTAAATATCTCAAGTATGTTTCACTCCTTCTCTTTGTAATTCATTCCCTGCTTATCATTATGTTTTTTACTTTCTGTCCAGATATCCTAGTCCGTATTCAATTACTTTTACCACTGCTTTGGTGCATGCATGCCTTGTCCTCCTCCCTTTGTTACCTTATGTGGCTAGGCCTAACTTCATGCTGTATTGCCTTTCTTCAATTCCTAAATGCTGGAGTCTTTTCTTTAGACTGTTGGGCTTAAGTTTCCCACCTTTGTCTTACACACTCTACTTTTTTTTCCAATAATTTTCCTCCATTCACATTCTTTCCGTGGTAATGCACCATGCCCTTGAGGGGTTTACGGTGAATGCTCATTCACTTGCCTTCTCTACAGTGGCAGGTTTATT